TTCATTGACCTGACTGAAGAAGGGCTTCTAACTCAGTGCTCAGTGATGGGAAGCAGTCTTGGGTTTCTTCCATCCATGTGAAGAGGAACAACCAGAAACCAAGTCTAGGGCAGGCCCTTATAAGTATTTGATCACTGACTACTTCCTGCATGGGCTTCATTTGTATTCCCAGAAAGTGGAGCCATGATCAAGTCCTGCTTTAGGCTGAAATGTTTAGGTCTTTGGGTGAGTAGAGTAATTCAGACATTTGGTGGGAGAACACTATTATAGGTTGTGCCTGATGATCTGAATGCTGTTTTTTCCTCTTTGTTCTTGTGATTCTATCCTCCTTCACCTTGTGCTCTCCCTATTCAGTCAGACTTCCACCTTTCTATCTGAAGCCCATTCAAGCCATGTCTAGGGACAGGTGGTCTTGTGGTTTGTAGTCTGAATGTCCTAACTATAACTGTAGAGAGTCATTCATGTGAATGCTCTGTCCTTTTTGTCTCTTCCCTTTCTTACACTGTAGGAAACATGTGTTTTAAGAGGTTTAGCTTTCCATCATGGTCCTCCAAATGCTCTTGCAAAATACAAAATGGAAAAGTATGCAGTTTCATAGAAAACTTACTCTGGATACCATACTGTACCAGATTTTATAGGATTCGCCTGATTTGAAATAATGTGAATTCTCTTTTAACAAATGTAATGGGTCTATTATGTATAAATTGCAATGAGATATTTTCTGAAAGAAGCCTTGGAGTCTAAAACAAATGAAATGGTGTTTGGGTACTTCTATACAGTAAGGTCTCAGTGGTTTTATTTCCAGTTAGCATACTCTTTAGTGAAGTTTACTTAAGCCTGTGGTGAATATTGTTGATTTTCAAATCATTTCATTCTCCCAATCTTACTTTAAAAGCTTTCCAAGAGACTGAGGGATAAGAAATTCAAAGAGCCAATCACCAGTGCATTACAGGAGCTAGAACAGCATGGTGGAAATGTAAGTAAAACATTATTCCTTAAGTCATATTTTTTTTTTTTAACTTTTACACTACAAAATTGGCTATATATAATGTATTATTTCAGCCATAAGTAATCATGTGGAGTTCACAGTATTTTCATATGAGAGCTCAGAGTTTCTGTCTTGCGTGGATCATAGTTTTTGAACATTGGGACCCCAACCAGACTGTGTAAATGCTGGGCCTGTACACTTTGTCTGTGCTTATATGGCACTCCATGTGGTGCAGATTTGCAGGTTTTTTTTTTTATTTTGGATGTTTTTGCTTAGACCATAGGAACGTTCAGAGAAGAAACAGATTAATGTAGAGAGCTCATTGAAGAATGTACTTTTTTTTCATTCATTTGCCATCAATTCTGTCTAAAAAAATGACAATTTTCCCATCCAAGGATTGAAATATGATCCCCAAATGGCTGCAGTACCGTGTCTGGAAGTGCACATGTTCTGGAACAGGCGTGTGCACACACATACACATGCAAGAATGACTCCTGAGTATTCTGACTTGCAGGAATGTGCAAGAATGGGAGGGAGGGAATCTCATTTTCTGTGTGGTATCAAATAAGTAGGTTAATTGAATTTTCATCTTTTAAAGAAGTGTTCACGTCATGTAGTCTTGGAAGTATTTCTGTAAAGCAGTGATCCCACCTTGTTTTGGAGATTACATTTAATCAGATCTGAATGATAACGTTGCATGTGATTATTTTAGCATTGTAGAACTTAAGTTTCATTGGAGGTACTTTCTAAAGGAATTATAAAGAAAATTTGTGTGACCATATACAGTTTTAAAATGGCAGAAGTGTTAGTTTAAGCTTTGTCTAAATTACCTAATTTGACCAATTCCAGTCACTTAAAATTGGTTATATTCTTCTCATGAGAAATGCTTAGAAAAAAGTTTAGGAGGAGGAAGTAAGTCCCTAGATTTCTTTGTTGTGTGTGGAGGATTAGCATTCAGACACCTTGTTGAGATGTACAAAACCATCTCCTAGCCAATCCAGTGTCTCTCAGCAAAAAGGAAATTCTTTTTGCTTGCAAATGCACTTCTGAGAATTGGAAAGCAAAATAATTTGTCATTTCCTCCCCTGTGAAATGCAAGTAAACAGATGCTAAATATTGATGGCACAGCTTTCAATCTGAAACTCTCCCTAGGTGGTTTTCACACATTCTGTGGAATGGGGCAAGAGGAAAGGGACTGGCCCAGTGTGTTAGATTTCAAGGGTGAATGCGGAGGAGGGAATAGTTTTCAAGTAAATAAACTTGAAAGGGGAATACAGAGGGATGTAGATGACCAGCCCAGGGCCACAGAGGTAGCTAACAAGGAGTTCCTGTTACTGCCACTTATTCTTATTAGTTTGGAATCCTGCTAATACAGAATTTTAAAAAATGATGAAGTTAAGTGTTGTGTATTCCTTTAGACTTTTTCTCGTTTGTCTAAAGTCTTACGTGATATTTTAATTAATAATTATATTTGATCAGATTTTCTGTTGGGATACCATTAATATAATAATTGATCACACTTTCTGGTGGCCAAATACCATCATGCTTGCTTTATAATCCTTCATGAAATTAATAAATGCCGTTCTTTCCCTACTAAATCCTTAAAATGTCTATATATCTTTCTTTTTTCTTTAAATATTAGAGGTGAGTCTTTAAGAGAGTCTCCTCAGTATTGCAGTTTCTCATTTCTTGGGGCTTGTGTGTCCCCCAGTGATGAAAACACTCAACTTCTGGGGAGACAGGAAAGTCTGCTCCAGGCACGGTCTCATTTTCTTACAACTGATCAGTTTGCTACCTGCCTTAAGTAGCAGTCATTTCACTCTTACCTTGATTTAATTTTCATCCTAAATTTTGGCACCATACTTCTACACACCACAATCTTGATTGAGCATGTGGGAAGTTACTACATGTCGGGGACTCAATTGGGTGTTATTTATTTATTTATTTATTTATTCATTTATTTATTTATTTACAGATTTTATTTCTTTATTCGAGAGAGAGAAAGAGAATGAGTGGTGGCGAGGGGCAGAGAGAGAGGGACAAGCAGGCTCTGCGCTGAGCAGGAAGCCCCACGATGGCTTGATCCCAGGACCCTGAGATCATGACGAGCTGAAGGCAGAGGCTTAACTGACTGTACCACCCAGGCAGGCGACCCTCAGTTGAGTACTTTTTGGACATTAAACTCACTGAATCCTCACTGCAGCTCTCAGGGGAAAATTTTGTTGTTATTACCCTTTAAAGATCTAGAAACTGAGGCTCAGAAATAATTAGCCCCAGATTTGACAGTGAAGTGACTGGCAGAAGGTGGATTCAAATGCTGGTGGTATGGTTCCTAACTACTTCCTTAGTTAAATACATTTTTTTTAAATGTTAAGAGACAACCTATATTTTACTCAACTGAGAAAAAAGTTCACTTCTCATTCCATCATTCTGTTCCCATTCCCTTTTGTTTGTTTTGAGTTTTGGATACTTTTTTAGGCATGCTTCTATAGATGGAATACCTATTAGGAGAACCCTGTGTGATACTAATGAAGCTATTTTTTTTCTGTTGACAGGGAAGCCTTATCATCATCAAATCTAAAATTCCAACATATTGCTCCATATGCTGTTGAAGAAGGGAGCCCACAGAAATATTGTTACTCCCTGGTGACAGGTGTTAAGTGCTGACCATAGGTACCTTTGGAACCTTTTCAGATTTACTTCCGTTTATTCTTCTGTCAGTCACAGCCACCGTTCATTATTTACTGCATTAAGATGAGTATACAGTTCCACTGAATCATAGTAAAAGTTATTCATCAACAACAAAAATAGAATGGTCAATGATGGAAAACTATTAAAAATAGTTCTATAATAGTACAATTTTAAGGGGTTGGTTTTTCATATTTTACAGTTTGGTATGAACAACCATTATTGGGTTTATAGTAGATGTGTTTGTATTTATTTTCTAGTGCCTTTTATTTATAATATCCCTTTTCACAATCAGTTTGTAGCTGTGTACTTATTTTTAGACATTTTGTCATTTCTTGGGTTTTATACTTATCAAGGCTATGGAAATTTAGAGTAGTGGACAAACATTTGTGAATTCACTGTTAATTATTGTCTGTAAATATGTATTTTATGGTGTAGGATACTTGGAAAAATTTCATACTAGAGTATTCTAGTTTAAGACATTTTTTTAAATATGTAAATTCTCTTGTAAGTATGTTATTTATTACACCTCTTTAAAACTATCTAAACTTTAGGAGTTGTTTATATTTAAGTAAATGATATTTTTGTATCCCATAGTCTGAAAATACTGGAGATACTCATTTCATGAAGATACTCAGAAATTAAAATCTTAAAACTCTTAAATGTACCCAGTGATTTTGTTGTGTTTGCTTAAGTTTAACAATTAATTTAATTGAAAAGTCTTTTAAGACCTACTTTATAGGCATAGTTCTCAGTGATGTCATTGTAGGAGCTGACCCTGGATCATTCTACAAGAGAAAGGAATAAGAGTGAAAAAGAGAAAACAGGAATAAGACTTTCCATCCTAAGGGAAAGAAGGGAGGCCATAGGGACATGAGTAGCCACACCAGATCCAAAGCAGACTTACTTTTGGAGGGATGGAGATTAGGGTTACTCTTTTATTTGGGGGAGCAGCCGTATTATATCTCAGCACCGCTGAGAATTTGCAATTCTCATTGCAGATACAGTCTCACAGCTGGAATTTAAAAGAGTACAAATAATTTCTGAAGAGTCCTAATTGCAGAAATGCCTGTTCATCCTTCAGAGCTCTTGTCCTTCCTGGTCCTCCTGTCTGGGATATTCTCTTCTTGGGTCTCTACTCATCTGTCACATCCTTAGATCATATTAAGCTAAAACGTGCACCTGCTTTTACTCTTCTTCAGTGTACTTAGCGCCACCATAAGGCAAAGATATGTACAGTCCTCCAATGCCATAAGAAAAATACAACATTTTAAATTTAGTATTTATAAAATTTGTTGAAATAAATGCCTATAACATAGACCAGTAGAGTTATAAACATTTTATTTGCTTTTATTTTTTTGAAATACAAAATGTGCACATTGAGTTTACACAAACACGCGATGGCAAATTTCAGTGTACATGTATTGTACTACTCTTTATTTCTACACTGGTGATAGCAGGGCAGCTTTCAACATCCTATCTCTACACCAGAATAGATACCTGATTTATTGTTGCAAAAACAGTTGCAGATTTCCTCCTACTGTAGCCTCTTGTTCTTTATGAGAGTTCTGCAAAACAGGGAGGGTGTTTGTATCCTTAGTAGTGTTGTGGCAACTTTACGATTTGGGCTTATGATCAGCAAAAAGAATCTGAATTGTTGGAGTTCTATGATGAGCAAAATCATAATACAGTCCATGTAAACTGCTTAGCATTTATTTTCATTTTCAGTGAAGTTTTGGTATGGTAGTTCTGGATAGAATGGACTCACTGATGGTTTCAAAGTGAATTCTGCTTTCTCTCTGTCCCCTGTAGGCATTGGGGTAGTCCTGGTCTCTTTGGCCCTGAATGGCGTGTAAAACAAAAGTACCTTGAAGGAGTCAAGGGAAAGGGGATGGCATAGGCCTTCAATGCTGTTGGGAATTATTTGGCATTAAGTATTACCATATACCAGAGGGCAGATATCTTGACCCTTTGCATATGCCTATGAACATCTTTGCTTTGTTCCACACCTTCTGGGACCTCCACTTAATGACACAATAGAAAACAGTCAACCTGTAGGATTGGACAAATCCAAAATTATATACATCATGTAGGCCTTGGCTATAATATGTATTATGAAAAATTAAGAAATGCTTATTAAATAAGCTTTATTAGGCATATGCTGACATCTGGTGATGAACTAATTTGTTTCATGTTATAAAAAATGCCAGATAAATGAGTATCTTTAACGGAAGGCTGCAAATCCATAGAAACTGGGACTGTGTGTTTGTTTTTTAATTATAGTAATCTTGTTTACTTAGTGTATAAATGGAATTACAGCATACAAACATGAAAATTAATTTCTGGAAATTAAATGCAGATGCCAATATTTTAGAAAACCATTTAAAATCCTGGGGCTGAATACATCCGGTTGAGTAGCAAAAACCACTGATATTTTAAAATCACTGATAATGTGAAAGCTCAATAATCCCATGGCTAGAGAATCAATAAAACTATATGCCAGATTCTATTTGGAATAGTCACAGGGTATGAAATGACTTAGAACATCCCATGAACTCAGTGGCATTATGAAAAGGATGCAGATTTGTAACTGGAAAACTCAAATCTTTTGGGAATTGCTTTATATTAAAACAAAGCTTATTTGCATAATATGCCTCAGTGTAAAGCTGAGCAATCTATGCTAAGAGTGGTAGCTCCAACTTTAAGTGTGGTAGAATAATTCACATTTGTCTGTTTGATCGAGGATGCTTTTGACAAGTTAAATCACATTTTCAAAGAGCTGCATGGAGCGCATTATGTTTTCATCCTGTAAGGGAGAAGCACAGTGGGATTAAATTAAGTATCTCTGCAAGGGAAAGTACACTGTTTTGCCTCTAAGTACTGCCTCCCCCACTACTGCTTAAGCCAAAAGCTCAAATACTAAGTGTTTGCAAATATCAATACCATCTTTTCCATTTTCCATAGAGATAAGTATGGAGAGCCCATTTTACATTTTGTTGAATCTGCAGGCTTTAAATATTTCATTTGAATCTTACTTCTGTTAATAGAGAATATTTCTCAAATTGGAATGCCAGAATGGACACTAGAGAGGCGCTGAGGGTAGGACCAAAAATAAGTGAGCAAAAGCAAATTTTGGAATTCCAGGTAGATCGTAGGCCAAGTCACAGAGACTTGTACATGTAGAAGGAAACAGGGTTTGTGTGTGAGCTAAGAGCCAACTCTATTCAGGATTGGAGTTTGGGGGTTGGGAGACCTGTCTATAGTCCTTTCACCTCTCTCTCTAGGTCTGTTAGGGCTAAATCTGTAGGACCTTTAGGAGCCTTTAAAAATTGCCAGAGAAGGAATTGTTTGAGAACCACCTTTGGCCAATGGCTGTGTTCAATTTAGCATATTCCTTAGAAACCAGGGGATAAACTCTGGGCATTATAGGGGCATTTGGAGATTGTGAATGGCACTTGGTGAGCTGCTTATAGTAATGGTAAATAGTAGCTGACCTTGTGCTGACTTCCGGGGCTAGAAGCCAAGGAACAGCCCCAGCAGACTGATGGCACCAATTTAATGCTCTTAAAGACCACTATGTCAAAATATGAGTTGAGAAGCAAGCAGTCACCAAGAAAGGGAAAGTGTATCAATTTGAAAATAAAAAAAGCTAAAGTATCAACAAACCTCATTGTCTCTACATGTATTTTAAAGTATTTATTCTTAATTCTTAATCTTAGTAATTCTTAATGCTCCACCCATGCATCAAGTCAAATAATCATAGATAAGCTAAAACTGATCTCCCACCAGATGATGGAAAACCACTTTGGATTTCCTCTCTGAATTTTCCACTCTTTATTTTTTATGACTGAAGACCATTACTGGTTCAACCAAAAAGCCATTTCTGGTGCTCATCCATTAAAGCAATGTGTTTTCCGCAGAAATTGGATGTACACTTGGCCTGTGATGTATACTTTGCTGTACTGGAATTCTCAGTCTATGGAGATAATATGTTATATGCTCAGTGTGGGAAAAGAGCAGTTCGAATTTCACATGTGTTTTAACCCTCAGTGATAAATACTCTCTATTTATTTAGGATTTAGGAAAGAAAAATGCCGTATATGTGTAACTTTGTATGTTTAGGCGTTTCTGCATAGCTCTCCTCAGGGTAGGCACTCTTTAAATGTAAATTAATTGGATTATCCATTGATGCCGGTTTTCAGAGTGGTGGGCTTCTCTCAGCTGTGTACAAGTGGTAAGGTTAGGTCAGCTTTGTATTTTGCTCCGTTCATGGTGGCTAGCTGACTCTACTTAGTCTGGCTATTATGAAAGCAAAAGGGATTACTTACTTTTTGGCAACTTTCAATGAACTCATCTATGGTAACAACTCCATCTTTATTTTTGTCCATTTTCTGTTCAGGAAGAAAAGAACAAAAAACTGTTCAGAATTCTCCCTCGATGCCCTCACAGCTGAAGCTGTTGAAGAGTCCATCAGCCTCTTTTCATAGGGAAGAACTGCTTCAGAGCATGAGCTAGTCCTTTCTTAGTGATAAGAATCCTATGGGCAACTGCTGTTAGCCTGTTCCCTTTTCAGTACAATGTGGCCGACCACTAGAATTGCTGCCCTAGAGAAAATCTGGCCCACTAGCTAGGACAGTTCAGGCAGTTTGTGGACACTTTCAGAGCCTTGGTTTTCTCATCTATAAATTGAGACTAAAAAGGATTTATAACCATAAGGATTCTTTTGAGAATTTATTGAAAACAAACATTAAAAACATGCAAAATAGCGATTTTTTAGTGTTCTGTTTAGGATATAGTGAATGTTCAATAACTGTAGTTATCAGTATTCTAATAAATTCAAAACCAAAATTACGAAATTAGAATGATGGTTAATATTCTATTGTTTTATCCCTTTCAGTAAGAGTTTTTTTTTTTCTTTTGCATTCTTTTGAATTATTGTGATACTTTGCAAGCATTAGGACATTTACTCTTTTTCACTCCATCTCTGACTTCTACTTGCATCCCTACCTGGAAAAATGTTTCGACGTGTTGTCTAGGAGCATCTTCCTTGAGGACAGGATATGTGCATTTACCCATCATATCGTATATTGCTTTCATTATATCAAGCATTTCCTGAAAAGTAAAAGGTGCTCACATGAGGCTGCTTGCACTGAATGAAGAAACCACTCTGACAGATTATTCCTATTCTGTTTCGAATTTTTTTTTTTTCCCCATTAAGTGCCTTTTGGTTGTTCCAGAGAAAAAGGCAACAGTTTCGTGCCTTAAGAGCAGCAGGGTCAGAATGTAAGAATTAATTCTGATCTTGATTTCAAAATGAAGTAAATTCCTACATATCCAAGATGATCAGGAAAGGAATGTTCTGGTTTAATGTTTAGATTTCCATAGACTTCCTATAGACTTACCTTGTTTTATTGAGTTACATATTATATATCTTATATGTTATCATATACATATCTTATATATATATATCATATATATATCATATATATATCTTATATGTTATCAGTTTCCTTTTACTGAGAATGAACTCCGTATGATGAGCATTATGCTAAACTAACTGATAGGTTTCAAAGCTTATTAGGATTTTCCTTGTTTTTTCCTACTATGGCTTTAAATTAAGAAATTACACATGTAGTTTAGTCAAAATAGTATGTATGACTCTGGGAAATCCCTTGAAATTTTATTAATTTTTTAATTAAAATAAAATCTAGCTTTTGCCTTGTCATTTCCAATCTTGGTAAAAAATAATATCTAATTACTCAGACATGCAAGTTTATTGTTTCACATTTGTTTCCTTCATATTGAAATTTCCATATAAAAGTCTAGATTAAATTGGTAATACAGATGTAATATTACATTTACTTTTTAGAGTATTCAATTGTTATTAATGATAAAGTAGTTTATAATTTATTCTTCATAGGTAAAACATTTTAAGATGTTTTGAGTTTAGATAAGTAGCAAGAATTTTGTCTGACTTAAGCAGAATTCATGAGATGTGTTACATGTAAGATCAGCATGTTTGTGTTAAACATGAGATAGAAAGGGATCAAAGGGCCAAGAGGTACCTAATATTTCCAAGGCATCCAGCTACTAAATATTTACTGTATTACTGTACACCAGTTACAAGAGGCACTAGCTGTTCAGGATATGCTCAATATGCAGAAGCACTTAATATTCATGAGGTCTTACTTCAGACATCCGTTGGTGAGAAATATTCTGGCCCCATGTATCTCCTGCTCAAAAAACACAAAACCTATGGCCTTCAATCAGGCTAACTGTCACACTCTACCTGTGGTCAGATACACTTGTCCCTGTGTCTCTCTCAGTAAGGTCAGGTCATTGACTCAGGGTCCCTTTTGTTTGAGGGGCCTCATGCTCAAATCCACTTCAGGAAAAGCAAGTGAGTCAGTGAGAAGGGACGTTATGAACATTGAGCATCCCCCAGGATTCATGTAATGTCTTTCAACCTCATTTGGACCCTATCCTAAATTTGTTAACTTACCTCATCCCTTTTCCCTTCTCACTGTGTTTTATACTAGTTTAATAAACCATTGATAGGAGTTTCTTAATGTGGGCCTTTTTTCTTGGATAGCCTGGCTGATAGTGTTTGGGGGCTCCACCATTCCCTTTAGGTTAAGTTCTACACAATACAGGTAATTGCAGTCTCGGTAATTTTAAAATTGTATCTGTTTCCATGTTATATTGGGAGAAAAAAGGTCACAGCATGGTATGTATACATTTTCTTCCTAATTCCAACCACAGCCTTTATCCAATTTACAGTATTTATTTGAATGCCTTTAGGAAACAGGAATACAATCTTTATGTGTTTTATATTTACTTTGAAGATATATGCACCATAAACTATTCCTATCCATTGCAAGTTTTTTATTAGAGTATTTCACCACCACCACCATGTAAAATACTTCAGATTTCCTAAAAACACAATTTTCAAATTAATAATTTCAATTGTTTAACATATAAAGTTAGAAAAGAAAAATGGAAACAGTCCAAAGGAGAGTTGTGTTGGTGTGGCATTTCTTACTTCTTTAGTGATGTAGCCATCTTTATTTATGTCATACAAATTAAATGCCCAGTTGAGTTTTTCTTGAACTGTCCCCCGGAGCAAAATGGAAAGACCCTTGATGAAATCCTAAAAACACATAAAAGCATAATTTGATATGACATTTCTTAAAAAAAAAACACTGACTATGATGAAAGTCTTTCTCAAATGATGGAAGCAAGGGTTACAGCCCTCTGGATTTTTTAACCATTATTTAGCAAGATAATGTGTTCTTGTTCTTCCGTTTCTTAGAGTTCTCCATGGGCATAAACCACTCCTTAGCTTTAACGTTCTCATCTTTGATTTGGGAACTGTGATTTAAATCACCTGTGAAACTGGAAATGTTATGAGGACAGACACCCAAGCAGCAAGATGCATGCTCTAAATGGTACTGGTTTTCTATCACAACTGCAAACAATTTTTTTTACAGAAAAGAATCTGAGAACACTGTACATTATGAAATACAAGCACATACATAGCTTATTTCCCATGAAAAAAGATCTGCTGGTCTGTCTTTAAGATATGGGTCAACTCCAACTGTTACTTAGAAATCAAGTTATAACACACATGAGGGCAGTGGTCAAGAGCATTGAGCTGGAAGCCAGACTGCCTGACCTCAAATTCCACTTACGTTGCTTGATAGCTTTGTGTCCTCTGACCATTTAACCTCCCTTTGCCTCAGTTTGCATATCTGTAGAATGGGGATTATAATACCTACTTCTTAAAGTTTTTGTGAGGATTAAAATAGTTAAGCTATAACAAAGTCTAGCAAAGGCATTGGTTATGTGTTTACCAAGTAAACGAAGCCCTTAGCCAGTATCATGGTTAGGCTGGTTTGCTTGAACTTGTTCAAATTCCTATATATTTGTTGTCATGTGGAGCAGAGCTACCGTCACAGAGTGGTGACTCTGAGCTTACACAGATCTAATAATCCACTGGTAGATGAGAATGGAAGAGCCCAAGGGGCAGGTAGCAGTGGCCTTCTGGGTGAATTTGCATTTTCTCTCTACATTTCTATATTCTATCATCTTATAGTTGTTTTCCTGTCCCAGTTTCTTAATTTTAATGATTTTTTTTTAAACTTTGTAATGTAGGTAACATACACATAGTTCAAAATTTAACAATATGTAAGAGGTTTGGTGAAAAATTTTCCATTCCTGGACGCCAGCTACCCTTTTTCTTTCTCCTTGGGCAGCTTGCATTAGTAGCTTCCTGGATTACTTCCAAGGAGTTTTTGTGCATATGTAAGTATGAGGCATATTTATTTATATGTATTCCACATCCCTTCACACAAGTAGTCTGACAGGCTGTTCTGTACCTTTTTTCCCCGCCCCCAACCCTTAACAATCTTAGGAATAATTCAGTCTTTTTCACAGTTGCATAATTACATATGAATGTATCATAGTTTATTTAACCACTCTTCCACTGGTAAGAATTGAAAGATTTCCAATTTTATTTAAAACAATTTTACAAAGAGTGACCTTATATGTACATAAGTCATACTTGAGCAAAAATATCTGTAGAATAAATGCTTAGATGTGAGATTTCTGGGTTAAAGCATTTGAACATCTGTTTGTAAATTTTAAAATTACTTCCAAATTGCACCCCAATTCCCCTCTCAAAATCTATATGACAGTATTTTTAGGTATAAGAATATTATAGCTTGTCAATACTATTTAGTATCAAACTTCAATGTTTTTCAATTTTATGGAAAACTATTTCTCAGATTACTTACATTTGTATCCCAAATAAATTTGAATATATTTTTTTCAAATGTCTCAATGTATAGAAACTCTTCACATATTAGTGAAATTATCCCTTGTCTGAGATATATGTTCAAGTGTTGTTTCCTAGTTTGTCATTGCTTTTGATTTTTCTTATATTTATTTTTGCAAGGTAGGGTTTTTTTTTTTATATTTGTCAGTCTTTTAATATATGTCTTTTGGTTTATGTCATATTGAAAAGGTCTTCCCCATTTGAAGTTATAGACAGGTATTCCCATACTTCTTCCAACTACTTCTGAAGTTTACCATTTTAACGTTCAAATCCTTATTCTGCTTGGAATTTATCCACTGTTTTTAGAGAGTTGTCTGGTTTCACATTATTATTAACTACTGATTTGAGATTAAGATTTATCATATCCTTAAATCTTTTATGTGTCTATATTTCTGAAGTTTCTATTTTATTTCATTAGTAAATCTGTTTATTACCTCTATTACATTGGTTCAATTATGAAAACATTTTAGTAATTTTAACAGCTGTTAGGGCTGTTTCCTCCTGGTTGATCTTCTTTTTCAACCTTTTTTCTCTATTTTTTTTCTTGCTTTAATATTCCACATGAATTTTGAATAACCTGTTGGGGTCTTTATAGGATTTGAGGTAAATTTACAGATCAACTTTGGTAGAATTGACAACTGCATGCTGTTGAGTCTTCCTAATCAAGACTATGAGAGACCTTGCCGTTGTGCAAGTCATTTTTGTCACTGAACCTATCAGTGTTCTGCTGCTGTAACAAATTACTACAACTTTAGTGACTCAAAATAATACATGTTTATTATCTTATAGTTCTGCAGGTGAGAAGTCTGAAATGGATTTCACTGGGCTGGATTGAAATGGGAGAGCACTGGGGATATAGAGGGAGAGTTTGCTCTCTTGTCTTTTTTTTTTTTAGCTTTTAGAGACCACTTCCGTTGTTTGGCTTATGATCCTTTTCTCCATCTCCGGAGCACATCATTTTAGTCTCTGCTCCCATTGTCATATCTTTCTCTTCTTACTCTGATCTTCCTGTTCCCTCTTACAAGGACCCCTGTGATTACATTAGACCCACTTAGGTAATCCAGGATGATCTCCCCATCTCAAGATCTTTAATCACACCTGCAAAGCTCCTTCTACCATGTAAGGTAACATATTCACAAGTTCCAGAAATTAGGATGTAGATGCTTTTGGTTTTGTTTGGATATACAAAAGCTATGACTTCTGTATAATTGTGTATGCTGCCAACTAAGTGTTTCTGCTGTTTATTATAGTTTTTCCATCGAGTTTCCTGGGTTTTTCATGGATGCAATCATATTAGCTGCAAATGGAGTTAATTTTACCTACTCTTTCTAATTTTTATATTTTTAATTACTTTCTTTTTTTCTAACTGTAGTGAATAATATATACAAGACAATATTATATATAATAATAGCTATCCTTATTTTGTTACTGAATTTAATAAGACTGTTTCTAGTGTTTCTACTTTAAGCATGAGAGTGACTTTAATTATGCTAAGAAGGTATACAATTCTCATTTTATTAAAAAAATTTATCAAGAATAACCACTGACTGACTTTCTTGCAGAAATGGAAAAGCTGATCTACAAATTCATATGGAATTGCAAAGGACCCCAAATAGCCAAAACAATATGGGAAAGAAAAACAATATTAGAGAGCTCAAACTCCACTTTTGAAACTCACTACAAATCTACAGTGCCACACTGGCATAAGAATAGACATATAGACCCGTGCAATAATTTTGAGAATGTGGAAATAAACATCTGTGACCATTGATTTTCAACGAGGGTACCAAGAACATGCAATGGGGAAAAAGTCATGTTTTCAACAAATCCTGCTGTGACAACCAGATAACCATAACCTACTTCCCATCTTTATTCAGGGAAAAATGTAAAGTGAGAGAAAAAGAGAACTCAAGAGAAGGCCACAAAGAATTGTAGAATTTGGTAGGCAGAGAGAAAGGAAGCTGGCAAGGGATCTTGAAAATAAGTTGCTAAGGAAGTATGGAAGGTCATGTGAGGAATTCATTTTCCTAGAAAAGGGTGGTTCATGGTGATACAAGATGCTGCTAGGGAATGAAAAGTGTTCATTAGATCAGCAATATGGAGGTCAGCAGTGACTGATAGGAGAACTTTCCATGCAGTAGAAGAAGCAAACAGTGATGGAGACTAGGTAGCAAACTCCTAACTGCTGGCTGGCCACGATGATATAGAGATGGCTACATCTGAAGAGAAATATGGGATCACAGGAGAGATTTTTGAAGATGAGCACTTTGATTACTGGAGGGAGCAATCTATGAAGAGAAGATTACTAAAGTGTGTGTGTGTGAGAGGGAGGGAGGTAGTGCAAGAGAGGAGCTTATTGTTCTGAGAAGGTGTGAGGGATCCAAGTGCAGGTAGAGGGTCTGAGCTGAGGGAGGAGGTGCATTTCTTCAATTAACACGGAAACAGGAGAACAGGCTGTGGATGCCAGCAGCTGATAAAAGTGGGAAGATAAGTGAGTCCCCACCTGGCAGCTTCAATGGGTGTCATCTGCTTGGGAGTGAAGGCTGTGGCAGAGAGGGCAAGAATCAAAGGTTAAAGGAAAGAAGTAGGCAGCCATGGTACTAGATAATCAGGTGACTTGTGCAAATTACCCAAGGATGGATATCCCTCAAATTAATCTGTGCTATCTCCTGGAAAGTTGTTATAATATATATAAACCTGAAATATATAACACACTATAATCAAGAATTAAGGTGCAAACTATAAGCTGTGGCTTTTTAGAAGCTACGAAGTAGTCACTGCCGAGTATGGGAAAGTAGGCTTGTCAGAGAAAGATTGCTGGACAGTTTTAAAAGGCCGGATGAGGTTGATGGTTATCAATATAAACCTTATCTCTTGCTTCAAATCACAAAGTAATAGTCATATGCTCTTAACTGAAAAGGGGGGCTGGATATAAGGTCTTTGAAGACATGCTTAGAGCATTGGTTCTCAAAACTTAGCTTGCCACATGATCCCCTGGAGGGCTTGCTAGAACGCAGATTGCTGGGTCCCACCCTTAGGATTCTGATTGATTAGGTCTAGGTCGGGGTGTAAGAATATATATTTCTAGCAAATTCCAAGGGGATACTGATACTGTTGGTCCAGGAATCACACTCTGAGAACCACTGGACTACAGAAATCATCAGTGGCATTGGCCCTATCACCAAACAGCAGATCAGAGTAACTTTTAAAGTCACATGTGGACTTTTATTGATTGCCTTCCTACTAAGCTCTCACTAATTTCCATTTAGTGCTTCATCCAGTTCTGCAGAAGTACTCTCCACCTCTGGCTCTAG